CCGCGGCAGCTTGCGCCGCGCACGGGCGCGCTCATCGCCAACGTCTTCCTCGCGATATTCGGAGTCGGAAAAATGGCCGCGCAGTGATTAGACGCACGACGTGTGCTCTGTGCATTTTTGATTGTGACTACACATTGAAGTGCCCACCGCAGTGATTACAACAGCTGCCGAGATACTGCATTAACATGTAAAGCGACCGCTCATCCAGCTCTATTCGGGTACATCAACACGACGACTCAGGCTCACATGTGCGCGAGTGCCGATCGCCACGTGTCTCACCGGCTCACGGGCGATTCATCGAAGAGGACGGCACTTAATATAATTGCCTCTCATTTACACGGACTATATACACATCTCATTTTATACACCGCTCATCGATTCTCAGGTCAGATTGTATCAATTTCGACGCATTAAAGACGGCTCAGATTGTGGTCTGAGTTACACAAAAATAAAGTGAATATTTAGTTAACACCTTCCACGTGTGTCCTTCTCATCCCGCTTCCATCGCCGGGATTAATCAGCGATTTCGCGAACACATAATAACGTAATTTTCTAGTTTCTTTATAATAAATTCGGTTTAAATTTAATTAATTTTCTTGATTTGTTATAAACATTGTTATAAACATTTAATTCAGAGTCTTTATTTCGAATTTTTACAGTATAAGCTTGAAAATATTAATCAGAATGAAAATGACAATGCGACAAAGTCGAGTGGTCTTACGGACCAGAGAGTGGAGAAAAAGGACTCGAAAATAAGTGTGACTAGCTATAGAGTTAACTACACTATATTTAGAATGTCTCTAATTTGACATAAACAATTATTTCGTACCGTAATTAAATATCTCTGTATACGTATATTAAGAAATAATCTTACCTTACCAATATGTTTTCCAGAGGCCATATATCTAAAGGCAGCTTCTATTTTATTTTTTTTAAAGACTTTTCTACACAGCGGTTTAATAGCGCCATTTTCTAAACCTTCCGTTATTTTCTTCGACAGCGTTATCTTTCGTTCTAAACTTGATGAATGTAATTTATCTAATAAAATACCGTAGAAACTGATACCTTTAGAGAAAATAAAAGAATCCAATGAATTATTGGAAACCATATCAAATTTTCCAATTTCCAGAAAACGGCCACCATTTGCTAAACAGCGAACAGATGCTTGCAATTTCTCTTCGGCTAAGGAATTCAATACGATATCCACTCCACGACCTCCTGTACGCTGCATAATCATTTGTTCAAAACTTGTATCTCGGGAGTTTCCAATATGATCTTCGGGAATAGAGGGAAAAGTTTCTTTCATAAACTGTCGTTTCTCGACAGTTCCAACTGTCGTAAACACTTCACAACCTTCATGAAGGGCAAGATGGATCGCAGCTTGACCAACGCCACCAGTACCCGAATGGATCAAGATTTTGTCTCCTTTTTTCATTTTACCCTTTATATGCAAGGCGTCATAGCACGTAATGTACACACACGGAACCGTTGCTGCATCTTCCATTGTCCATTCATCGGGTACATTCCAACTGAGGTATTCGTCAGGCACGCAAATGTTTGTCATTCCTCTAAACATAATTTTTTAAAGTACACTGGTCAACAAAAGTATTGCAACACACAATTTATATCAAAATTTCGTATAACTTTAAATAAGCATATTTCTGTGAAAAATTGTCGTATTTGAAACATTTTTTTTCTTTCTAAAGTCTATACTTTAAGGGCTTTTTGTTAGATTTTGAATTTATCCTCCACCCTTTCCTGCAATCTTTTCAAAAATAAGGACATGTTTTGTCTCCAAAAATTGTAGGGTTGGTAGTCCAACAATGAACCGGTAGTACACTTTGAACCATTATTGCAATATTTCATAAATGTAATGTTGCTAGATTGTGCTTCCCAGTAAGCAAGAAACGTCAAGAAACATTTTAACTACATTGCATTAATGTTAAAACGTTGCTGTAATGTAGTTAAAATGTTTCTTAGTGTTTCTTACTTACTGAGTTGTTATCATGCAACGACTCGCATTTGAACCCCTCTTTGGCTCTCCAATCAGTCGGCAAATCGCGAGTAGGACGGCCGTTTGAGGCCACATTTTGTGATTTTTGGGTGACAAACTAAGTTTTTTTCGTAAGTTTTACGTATTTTTCATGTTTTTGTTGTTATATCTATTATTTTTTTCATAATTATATAATTTTGTGTATATATTTTGCTTTATAATTCTGTAAGCAACTTTCTTCTATTGTGCATTATTTTACCGTATTTTTTGGAGATTATCGTAAAAAATGTTATATGGTCTACAATAAACCATTTTGTCTTACTACAGTTATTTGTATTATAATTACCTTTTCTTTAAATAAACATTTTAAAACATAGTAAAATTAAAATAACACTAACAATTTACATGTATAAAACATGTGATTTATTGTTAAAAATGGCTAGGTTTATTGTGTACACACCCCTGTACACAATGAACCATTTGACATTGTTTTAAAAAAATCGAAATTGTGGCTAAACTTTAAAAATAAGTTATAAGTCATCTTACAGTATGTAGCCAACTAAATTCATGAATTGTATGTAAAAACACAGATCTCCAACTCAATAATTTAGAGATATATAAGCTTATGAAATTTACATGGTTCATTGTTGGACTATACATACTCTATATAATTTGTGTGCTGATGTCTTGTAAAAGTTATATGGTAATTATATTTATTATATAAATCGCTTTGTATCATGGATTTTTGCGATTCAATCTGTCATGCTTAAAGTTTTGAAAATTTTCGAAATTTTGTAAGTGTTACATTTTACTAGATTCTATTCTTCTGATAATTTGTTAATTTGTTAAGGGTCTCAAAAGACAATTATTTACGCTATTTCTTCATGTTTGTTTGACAATTTCTGCATATTTCTACAGCATATATGGAAAGGCGTTATTTCAAGTTCATATACATAGCGTATAAGTTAGAAATGTAGAAGTTTATTTTCTATTTTATCTGAAGCATATTTTCAATTAAAATCAAATCTAATGAAATTGAGATTATATTAAATATTAAACTAATACTGCTAATAAATATAGATATGGTTCTTTTATTTGGTAATTATTGATAGAGACAATCATTATTTTACCCGTTTGAGCACATTCCCATTATTCTGCGTCCACGCGTATCAAACCCAACAAATTCCAAGCCAATGGGACTATCTAAATAATTGCTTTCAAATAATCCGATAGATTCGGCAGTAATTCTACCAGTAGCCAACATAATATCTTTGAAGTTGAGAGGTGCATAAATTACACTAACGAAATTTTCACGCTTAATGTAGGAAGGCTTTTTCTTTTGTGCCCAGCAGAGAGTACTCAAATCTCCTTGTACCTAGTACAAAGAAACATAAATAATTACAATCTAATAATAAACAATAAAACTTCTTGACGCACCATTTGTCTAACGTAGGAGTTCTCTACAAATTTTGGTTCCAACGATGGTAATGGAAAATGCCTGTATGATCCCCAAACATTACCGGAACGTATAACGTTTATGGGTAGGTCCAACTGTAGCTGCTTCGTGTACAATGGTTCTTGCAAAGAAAATGTAGGCGCTTTGTCATCTTGAATAAATACGCTTCTAATTATTTCGCCGCCTGGTTCTTTTCGCAAACAATTAATAAAACCAATTAGCCCGCATTCGAAGTCTTCTTCCGAGACGAGAATTATCTCCGTATCTACACCAGTCTCGTTTTCTACATTCATGATTGATTTCAGTTCATCTACCCATGAAAATTCGTAATTGTTCACATGTACAATCCGCTGGTTTCTCGCAATATTTTT